TTCACGTGCAGCGCGCCCTTCGCAAATACGTGGAAGCCAAAGTGAGTGGAAGGATCGCTACACACTACTATTGTGCGCTTTTTCTGGCAGAGGAAAGGCAAGCGCTGGCGTCGGCGGGCAAACTTGAGCGGGTCTCCCCTATAGCCTGCGTCAGCGCCGGTGCAATGGCTTATCGGTTACAGAGGCAACCGTCCTCCTCCCTTCCTCAACAAGCCCGTGCAGTGCCTAGCAGCAATTTTTTTTATTTTCTTTTTCTTCCCTCCACCCTTTGCTCATTCACTCCGTGTCCGCTCCTCCTTCGTAACGAGTTCGTCGTTCGCTCCCCAGTGGCACATTCAGCGCTACCCGCTACCGCGTTTGTTACAAGCAATTTCTGGCAACCGCATTATAACCGGTCTTTCATCTTGGGTGACTGCACATTAGGCGGTATGCTTAATGTGCTTAAAGACCGCATTTTAAGCGGTTACGTTATAAGTGGTCTACACTGTATATGTTTAAGTGTCTATACATATGAAAACTCAACAAAAAAAGAAAAAGAGCCGCCCTGCTCTCGTCTTGTCACGATGCGCCGACACACGCTTATCTCCCATGCGGACTGTTTTCAGAGATTGGGGACGGGGAGGGTGTTAGATGCTTGTGCGCATGCACTTATCCTTCAGTGGGTAGAATCGCGTGCCTTTGACTTTGACCGGCACGGGCGCACAAAGATCAGTTTTCGGGCGCACAAAGATCAGTTAGCTCGCCGGACAGGCGCTGTTTTCAAAAGGAGTGTGCTTTTCAAACACAGCGAAGGAACAACTGGGGCACTTGTTAGTTCTCATTCATATCTGTACCTGTGATTAGGTTTCCTGCCTCGTTCTTGTTTAAACAGCACGTTAAAGATCAAGCTGTAAACGATGTTAGTTCAGTCTTGTCCTGAGTATGTTGTGTTTGTGCGTCATTTGTGCGTGAGCAGCACGCTGCAAGTTTCAATCTATTTGCTGTTCTCAGCGTTACATTCCAAGTTGTTGCTATCGCATTCCATTGATTCACCCTTGCGGCGAAACTTGGACTTTTCTTAATTTCGGGCAATTGTGTTGTCATTACCGAGAGGATGCCATATTAGGAGCTGATGGAAACTCTCAGAGAACCACGGTGACTATGAATCTTCGGAGGTCCACCTGTCACGCGCTTGCATCTTGCGCCAGCGCCGCGTGTTCGCCGGCTAGTAGCTTTAGCGATTAGGCCGATGAGTGTTCTGGCAACACGATGGCGTGTTAGCAAAACATTGTAGTGCTATAAGAAGTAAGGCTCGCAGTCAACTATTTTGGATCCGATATCACGAAACTCCTAAAGAACGCTGGTGTGAGGCAAATAGGTCCGCTTCAGAACGACGTTCTCCTTACACACAGTCCCTTCGCGTTGAAACTGCACTGATACTCGCCAAGATAGCAAGCGCAGCCACCTTTAAAATCCAACTTCATTATCGCTACTCGAGCGATCCCAACCCCCCTGCTTGCGTTGTTCCATGCTCATTCAAGACAAGTGGTTTACTTTCTGTTGGAACATTCGACGGCAGTTCTACCAGGCGGGAGATGTTATCTTATGCACTTTCCAGGCGATAGGGATGGGCCGACTCATTTGATCTCTGCTTCAGCAGCGCTTGTGCGCTTTTACCCACTCATGAAAGTTATGGTGCCCGGGGACATGATATCAATTTGAACTATTTACAGAACATGGCAGCAACGGCGAAAACCCGCCAAGAGCGTCCATATAATCTAGCGCAATAATAACACAGTTTTTTACTGTAAAGTAGGTGTTTTGGGTTAGCTCTACATCCAGTCGCCCTATCGTTTAATTTGCACGTTTATTTTCTGAATTTTCGTGGCCTGCATTGCTCACTGAAATCAGCTCAACTGAAAACCTGCTCTGGCATTTGGCGCACTTCGATGGGGCATTGTATCAAATTGGCACGATTGGCGCAGCTGTTGCACCCCTATAATTCAATTAAGTGTTTTCACCTCACAAAACTACTTTCACTTGACGTAAACATTCATTATAACAACGAGACAATGCTAGTAACACTAGCCAACAAATAACAATGCATAAAGCTCAGTCGTGCACAAGGGCGTTTTACGCAAACTCATGGTCTGTCGCCATTCGTAGAGGGGAGCACGTGCGCCAAGCCACCCTTTCCCTTTTATAGCGCGACAACCTAGTTGCGGGGACATGACTGTCCCTTCGAGACACAAGTCAATAAAGCCTTCTGCAAAGGGATGGAAGAGCCCTGCGGCCGGTGCTTGCGATCCCTCCTTCCCGGCACACGGAACAGGTTTCCCCTCCTATCAGCGAGGAAACGTACTCTCATCAGGGAAGGAAAACTGGGATGGGGAAGAAAACCAGCGTGGCGACGACCGGATGCTCTCTCTGACACTGGAATTAATCCGGTAAGGAATTAATCGTGCACAGTAAAATTATGTGCTGCTGGAACATTCGCTAGGCTTCCGAGTCAGCCGTACAAAGGACGACCTTCTACATAGTATGTGATAGCAATGACATCGTGTCTAACTCTTGATGGGAGGCTGTTGGCATCGCGGTTTCGGTTTCACGCCGCAGCCAATTTTTCGACACTATCGGCAGAAAGATGCACCTTGGATTAGATTTTTTTAAGGCCGAGAATAAAGATTTGCTTGCATCTTCTAATCTACGTAAAGCTTCCATAAGCTGCCACTGGCAAAAGTAATTTAATTTACCTTTTTTTTGCAGAGGCACAAAGTTGTGCCGTGGGCTTATTCAAGCGTTCTGTACCCGTTTTTTTTTTTGGGGGGGGGGGGGGGGGGGGCAAGACTAAGTGTCACTTCCTATAGTTTTAAATAGTTTAGTTTTTTTTATAGTAGAATGCTCGGATTATACAACACTTTTGCGTTGTCCTCTGAAAGCTGTATAATCGTAGTTCCACTGCACATGCTAGCCAGGACCAGAAAACATCTCTAAATTACCTGAATTTCCTCATTAACGGGTATCAAATTACCAAGCTTTTGCTGTAGATGGCCTCCATCGACTGATCTCTCAACGCTTGTGATACGAACAGACTTCCTGAGTTCAGTGACAAGGCATCCAGGAAGCCATATACAGTCGAGCCCACATATAACGGCTTCACTTTAAACAAACTTTTGCTCAAAACGAACAATATCCGCGTTACCGCGAAAATATACATGGATTCAATGGCACAAAACCGCACTTACAGGAAGCGTCTCCGAGCGCCACCGATCGGTTACAGCGAACGGGGTCGGCGCTCAGCAGACTTCCCGGGAAACCACTTTCGACCACTGATAAAGCATCAACTAGGTGCGCATACATTGTTATTGTTAAACGCTGACCCTGCCTCCACGCCCCTCTAGTTGCCGCTCTCCCCGACCGCTTTTTGTTTTACGCACTCCTCCGTGCTTTGTCTTTTCGCTACTCAGGGCACCTCACATGACCAGGTGAGGCCCGTGTTTTCACACTGCCACTGATCTTTCAAAGACCAGTCGGCCATCTCCTCTGTTTTTGATCGCAGGTACTGTCGTTGCCGTTGCCCGGCCTGGAGTGGCCAGACCATTCACCAACATCGTCGGCCACGGACTGTATTCGATCGTCTGCATCTAGTGCACGCGCGTACGCTACCCCCACAGACTGATCATTCGCGGTTCGTTTTGTGTTTAGGACCTGTGCTCACTCACTTCGCACTTGGCTCAGCACGCCCTCCGCACACGTGAGGAAGCGTGAAAACCGCTTTTAATTTGAGCGGTACAAATCGCGAAATATCGAAGTTGGTGAGGCCCCACAAGCTGGCCGGCGCAACAAAACGATTTTTTAACCACGACCGCCATTCTTTGAACACCGCCGCGCAGGGTGATCCAGGCTGCTTTGACTTCTGTGCACGGAGGCACTCTCTCAAGCTTTTCTACCCGTGAGTTGCGTGTTTCGCGGACTTTTGAAGCAAGCTACCCGACCTACCTCCTTCCCGGGAGGTCGCCCTCCCGCTGTGTCCTCCCCTCTCTTCACTCATAGTATTGAAACTCCTTGCCCTTCCTCTCACACAAATCTGTTCTCTTCTCTTGATCATAACCCCTTCGCCTGTCTCCCGCGCTACGAGACGCTAGCCACGCTGGCTCGAGTTAGTTTTGTTTTCCGACTAGAAACGGGCCCAGAGCTGCTCCGTGCGTTCTGGCATGTGTGTTGCGTATGCGCATCTTGGGAGGACTTGCACACTTTTTCCTGCTGCTCAATAAAACGTCGCATGCGTGAACGCTTGGCTTGAGCGTAATCTGGGCGTTAGGTGCCGCGTTGCGGAGCGCGTGCTCATAGCTGTTGACTACCTGGCATACAGCTTGCCGCTTCGGGCGTACCGTTATTGTTGTGGAAATAGTGAATATTTCGTGGGCTGTTTTTGCAATGCCGAGCCTGAAGCTTCTGAAACAGGATCACTTCGGGGGTGATTTGTTGCAGTGTGCCGTCGACTCCTTCATGGGAGAGCGGGTGAAACATCTGTTGCAACAGTCTCATTATGGCCGATGATGATGTCGACACCACGGAACCGTGCACGGATTAAGGAATTGTGAATGAAGTACGTGGCAAGAGCGATTTGGAGGAATCGAATTGCAAGAACAACGAAACTTTGAAGCTCGTCCCTCATGCGGCTTATGCCACGGGCCTCGGCGAACAAGCACGCTGCTGTTTGAAATAAACTAGAGACGGCCCTTATCGCTTCTGCTCTTCGAAACACGTGCATCACGTACTTTTTTTAGGCAAAAAAAGTTTGTGTTTTTACTAGCAACTTTTTAAAAACTGCGTTTCATTTGCTACTGAACTTCGAGATACAGCCAACGCATGTCGCGTCAGGCTCAGGTTCGTTATAAGCAGGCTCAACTGTACACCAGTGAAAGTGGTTGTCCTTGTGATAGCATTTCCCACAACTATAACTCAATACAGCAAAAACCAGTTTTATACGAAGTCTTAAAGGCCAGTAAATGGCTCACCTCTGGTGTGTGCTTCCTCTTTTTGGTCTCTCCATCGTCGCTCTTGCGCCTGGCCGGCGGGCGGTGCTCTTCCTTGGCCTCTTCCTCAGGTGGTGGACCCTTTTTGCAGCCAGAACTGTCTCTGCGGCCCTTCACAGGTGCTGCAACGCCGGCGTTACTCTTACGTGACACGGGGCTCTTTTTGGGCTTGGCCGTTTCAGCACACTCGGGATCATCACGGAGTCGCTTCTTGCGTGCCCGAGTCGGGCTGACAGCCGGTAACATCCCATCCTCTGGGACATCCTCTGTCGAAGAGGTGGACTCGCTGTTGCGAACCTTGGCTCTCCGTACTGGCTTTGACTGCATGGTCGATGCTACAGCAGATGTTTTCTCTTTGGGAGTTGTGGGTATGGTCAGTGGGGGCTCTAGAAATGGGAAAGCAGAGATGCCAGTTACCGGAAATACAGTCGAGTCCTTATAATGTCGCCGTTATTAACAATATATCATGCATAACAATGAAGAACCATGGCACTGTCCACTTCTGTATGCTTTCTATGGTAAAATCAACAGCTTATTTCTATGGCCTAGTGCGCACCGAGAAAGGCTATCTGTGCCGATGGCATGCGCCACTAGGCACTCCATCCACACCCTGAGACAAGTGAGGAGAAGGAGCTTTTCTTCCAAACTTCCAAAGCAATGCCAGGAGAAGCCTACGAAGCCCCCGTGGACCAAGAGCTGCCGGAGTTGTAGTCTGTTAAGATGTGTCCTGTCTGTACAACAGTCCAACCCACTTATAACGATCCCAGATATAACAAACTATCAGTTATAACGGACACATTTCGGTGCACTTACAATTTTGCTATGCTACCCATTGAAAATGAGTTCACATACAGCAAACACTTTTGAAAGCTTTCTACTTTTACAACAATCGTTTCCGACATGGTCACGCTAATACGAAAAAAAAAAAAAAGTCAGAACAGGCATTCTACAGCATGCGATAGGCGTGCACTCGCGTGTGCCTAGCTGCAGTTAAGTTGCTACAAGATCGGGGCGAGCACCGCACGCAGATTTCAGACTCTTCAAGCAAGGTCGCTTACTTTCCAGGCATTTCTTCATCGGAAAAACGAAAGTGAGGGAAAAAACAAAAGCAAAAAGAAATAGGAGGCAGCATGAAGACCGCCAACAATTAAACAACCTTCAAATGCAAGGAACCATAAATGCAAGGAGCTATAACTTTAGTCGCCTAGAACTTTACGATGACGCCAATACTCTGATCCCCCAATGTGCTGCCAAAGGTTTCCCACATTTCGGCAACGGCAGACACCCGTCGACTAGCATTAACAACTTACGCGCAGCTGCGACGGTGCCTTAAAGGGCCACTCACCAGGCCCCACACCGAATTTTAGTTACACAGTGGAAAGTGTTGGGTGTCTGATGAGGAACATTATGCCACAAAGAGTTTTCGAATCTGTTCATCATGAGCGGAGAAAACAAGGTTTTTTGAAGCAGCGCGAAATAAGGATGAGAGGAAGCGAGTTCGAAACTCGCCTCCTCTCATCCTCGTTTCGTGCCAAGGAAGGTTTCCTCGCTCGTTTATCGGCTCGCGAGCATGAAAGGCAAACTGGAGCAGGCCGACTCGTGGACTTATGCGACCTGAAATGCTACACCTCACAAGAGGAGCACGAAAACTATGGCCAGTTTTCCTCCAGGTTAATTCCTGCATAACAGGCTAAGACAATTCTGCACGGCAGGTCGTGTTTGATATCTTCTATGCGAGCTTCAAGGAAGAGGCGCGCTGAATTATTTGCCCCAATTTTTTCTGGCACAAAAAAAAAAAACCAGGGGCAAACAAACAAAAATTATTGTGAAAAACAAGAGGGGGTGGGTCTCGATTCCAAGCGCCAACTTCAGCATTGCGTTGTTAATAGTTGCTTGGAGTGGCCGAACACACGAGGGCAGGGTTTCCCACTAAAGTGAGTGTCAAAGAATCAACACAACTAGCAGAATCTATTTCCTTCAAAACAAGTCACGTGTGTCTTCCTGAACGGATGAGAGAGCGCAGTTGACGGCCGCAAAAGCGCAGGTCAAAGCTTTGCTGACTACTAAATTCTTTTGACAGGAACGCCACAACACGTCTGGCCTCTTTTTATTGTGATAACAATTATATGAACAGTCTAGGCTAGTTTTCTGCCTTCGCCGTCACGATTCACTGTATATATATATATATATATGTGTGTGCGTGTGCGTGTGTGTGTGCGCTTCAGGCTCGGGCCGGATGCTTCAGGCTCGGCATCCGGCCCGACAATCGACAAAGTCGGCCTCGTGAAAATAGTTTCGCGCACATGTAGCAGTCACCGCTGCCCACGAAATATTCACCATCTCACAGCTGAAAACCGGCACACCTGAAGCGGCAAGTTGGCTGCCAGGTGGTCAACAGCTATGAGCAAGCGCTCCGCAACGCGGCACCCAGCGCGCGGATTACGCTTAAGCCAAGCGGTCACACCTTCGGTGTTTTGTTGAGCGGCACGAAAAAGCGTGCTAGTCCTCCCGTCGGCCATCATGACCACACACACACACACACCAAGAGGGAGCAAGACACGCACCTGCGTCGAACAGCTCTGGGCGCGTTTCCAGTCGGAAAACGAAACTAATTCGAGCCAGTGTGGTGGGCGTCGCAGAGCGGTGGAGACGGGCGAAGGGGTTGTGATAAAAAAAGGAGAGCAGACTTGCGAGAGAAGGGCAAGGAGTTGCGATAAAGCATGGGGGAATGAAAGATTCCTTCCTCCGTGCGATAAAGAGAGGGGAAGACACGGCGGGCGGGCAACCTTGAAAACCAAAACACACGGGAAGGAGGCAGGTTGGGTAGCTTGCTTGAAAGGTCCGCGAAACTCACACGTAGAAAAACTTGAAAAGAGTGCCAGCGCGCACAGAATTCAAAGGATGGCCACCTCGTTCGGTGCGCCGGCGGGTTTGCGTGGCCTTACGAACTTCGATATTTTGCGATTCATTCTGCGCAAATTAACAGCCGTTCTCGCGCTTCCGCATGCGCGCGGAAGGCATGCTGAGCCGAGCGTGAAGTGAGCGAGAACAAGTCCTGAACACGAAACGAACTGCACATTGTCAGGGTCGGTGGGGCAGCGTACGCGCGTGCACTAGATGCAGACTATCGGATACAGTCGGTGGCCGACGATGTTGGCAAATGGTCTGGTCACTCCAGGCCGGTGAGGCCAACGATAGTACCAGCGATCGAAAACAAGGTACGTGGCCGACCCGTCTTCGAAAGATCGGTGGCAGTGTGAAAACACGGGCCTCGTCTGGTGATGCGGGGTGCTCAGAGTAGCCAAGGGACAAAGCACGGAGGAGTGCGTAACAAAAAGTGGCCAGGGAGAGCGGCAACTAGAGGGGCGTGGAGGCAGGGTTGGCGTTTAACAATAAGAATCTATGGGCACCTTGCCGATGCCATTTGTGCAATTTTGTGCCATTGAACCAGTGTATATTTTCACGATCACACGGATATTGTTTGCTTTAAGCGAAAGTTCGTTTTAAGTGGGGTCGTTATATGTGGGCTCGACTGTGTGTGTGTGTGTGTGTGTGTGTGTGTGTGTGTGTGTGTGTGTGTGTGTGTGTGTGTGTGTGTGTGTGTGTGTGTGTGTGTGTGTGTGTATATATGTATATATATTGCCACCATTGATGAAGGAGCCGCTGTGGCCCATACTCGTTTTGGGCTGTGAAGAAGGAGAGAACATTTGCGTTGTTCTGGTTCAGGTGAACTCCTGGCTGTAGGTGTTATTTTGCTCGTGACATTACGACCAGCGGGACTACTGCAACCAATAGACCCACCAAAGGCTCCCTTTCATCAGATTGGCATAGACTTGCTGGAGTTATTCACTACATCTAGGTCTGGAAACCGGTGGATTGTGGTCGCTACCGACTACTTAACACGCTACTGTAAAAGGCACTTCCAAAAGCCACCACAGCAGACATCGCCCAATTTTTTGTTAATAGCATCGTCTTACGTCATGGTGCGCCAGCTGTCGTCATAACTGATCGTGGGACACCTTACCTTTCACCACAGAGATGCTGCAGGAAGTCTTGCGATTAAGTGGCACGGAACATTGTGAAACAACGGCACCCCCGAAAACTGCCGCAATAATGTTGTCTGTTCGTTCCCGCGCGCTATCTGGCACCATCTCTTAAGCATCAAGCGTAGTATTATTGCAGAGAGATTAAATCCAAGCCAAGCCAAAGTGGCAAGTACGCATTACGGCGTGTTTTGTATGTTGTGTCGGTAATCTTGTCATGTTATGGGGTGATACTGAAGCTACACGGCTGCTTTCACTTTGAAAGTGATGGATCATGCACTAAACAATACCAACAGGGTCGCCGGCAGGCCCTTCGGAGTCTGAAACGAAACTAATTCTGTTCACTACTGTGACGGCAGCTGAAAGCCACCAAGACGCGTTGGGCCTGCGATGTGCCTAAAACTGGTATCGATAGTAAACTTTATTTCTTCAGAAGGAAACTGCAGGCGATTTCGTTAAATAGCCATCAGCCAAATACCGACGTCCTACACTTATCTTTTGAGGGCTCCTGTTGAGCGACGAACGCTACCGCTGCGCCCGCAATGCCCACAAGCTTTGCGTATGGTGTTCTAATCCTCGACCATTTGCTTACACTTTTTGTGTCTCAAATGAATCTTGCCTTGTGTTGAACCTGTGCTTTTATTGTTGAGGTAAGTTTTATTTGTACTTCTCAAAGCTTGGTGTTAGTTGCTGGGGTGAAAATCCCGATTTGCGGGCACTTCGTTTTCTTTTTCGCTATGTACATGCGTCTTCAATGCCATCCAGCAAGTTGCTGATGCAACATTTCTTGAAAGCATTTGCCACCATAGAATATGGCAAGTAACGCCAGGCGGAAAGCACCCCGCCACAAACAGTCGCAAACGAAGCCCTCTGTAGGCGGCTTGTCGGTGTCTTGGAGTTGTCGCCGGACATCCACTTTTGGTATTCCAGCCCCACTCGGTCTTTAAACGGCTTGTTTAGCGCAACGTTGAGCGGCTAGAGGGTGAATGTCATACCACCTGGTATCACGACGAGGTTCGTTTTCCCGTTGCCGAGTGCGCCTTTCACTGCATCGGTTCAGTGACCACTAAACGCATCCAACACTAACATGCTGCGAAGACGCAGCAGTGCACCTGGCCGACGGTTCCAGACTACTCGTATCCATTCGAGTATCATGGCCTCATCAATGTATCCCTTTTGTTGACGCGAACTACAACACCGGGCGGGAACACTTCCTTCGGCATTGTCTTGCGTTTGAAAATGATAAAGGGCAAAAGCTTCCTACCATCTGCCGTGCATGCCAGCATGACGGTGAAGCGTGAATGCTCGTTGCCAGTGGACAACAGTTTCACATCCTTGGCACC